CAAAAAAAACATTCATATCTTGTCTGACATCTCTGCTACAAATTCTGGTCATCAACTCTGGTTTTCAGTTGAAATTGGAATTGTTAATTTACACAATAATAGGAGTGCATTGACGATTTTTTCTTAACTCGCAAAAATCTTCAAACAATTTGCTACCGATTGGTGATAAAATTTTTTGGAAATAGTGAAATAGGGGGGATAACGCCTTTTTTTCAGGGGTGATTTTTCAAAAATTTATTTTAAAAAAAGTACTAACTAGCAAATGTTTTTTATTAGCTCGCAATTTTCTTCAAAACTACCTCGATGAGGAAAAAAATAAAAATTTGGAATATCTATACATGAGGGGCTAATTAATCGGATCTGATCATTTGCGCTACAGTGGGACACATGGCGCCATCCATAATTAATATCAACTGCAAATAGAACGAATGTAATTTCTACTCTACCGATACTGTTTGGCCGACTGCAAGGATGGTGGACAGATGTGGTTATTGACAGTTTTTTTTATGTACAGTTGAATTTATGTACAGTTGTTCCCTTAGATTTTTCACAAGTCTATGCACAGTCGGGGATATACAGTCGTGGAAGTACGATGGGAGTCCCCCCGCTCAGTGGCCACATGAAACCCTTCGGGTAAAATCGATCTAATTATCCTCAAGAGGGCAATATGAATTTCTGAATTACCGAGTGTTCAACGTTCACCGGGAAATTCAACGTTCACGTGGGATCGCGATTCCACTGCAATTTCCCTACGTCAATTCCCCGATATTTTTTTTATTTCCCCTAATTCAACTCGATACAATGAATAACCCGTTCTTGATGGGAAATTTTCCATGCGACACAGCAGGCGAGGGAATAAAATGTAATATTTACCGATTAGGGTACATCGATGAGCGCCGATAGACCTCGTCAACTTTTCCTAGTTTCCACTAGTCAGCCTGTGGTCTAAGGGTACGATTAACAGTTTGTTATGATACTCAATACAAGACCTGGTATTCGAGACTACACGCTGACTTTCATTTTTTCCCCCGCGTTATTTTTCCCGGAACCACCCAATTACACAATTTTTTATCATCCAATTGTCCCCGACGTCGTCACCCATTTGTGCATGAATATTCAACCGTGACGTAGCGCAATTCGCCTAGAATTGAGTTATCGGAGATTAATCGACGAAAAAAGTGCTTTCGATATCAGCGATAAGATGTCGAGTGTGCACTGAATCGCACGTCCTCGCGACCCACAAACTACTCGATTGACCCTGACGGGGGGCATGTGTTGTATTGAGTGAGAGAATTTTGTCTGTCAATTGGTGCCATACACTTGAGACTGTAAACAGTAAATAAATGATTGGAAAATAAACTCAGCAATCGACTGATGATCTGAATATTTTTGGAAAATGATTGATAATTAGAATAATTAACGATGGGGAAAATCAATTTGTTAATTGCAATAATTAATGATGGGCATGATCAATTTTTTATTGATTCACAGTGTCAATTGGTGCCATATACTGGAGACTGTAAACAATAAATAAATGAATGGAAAATAAACTCAGCAGTCGACTGATGATCTGAATATTTTTGGAAAATGATTGATAATTGCAATAATTAACGATGGAGATAATCAACTTTTCATTGACTCAAAGTGTCAATTGGGGCTATGTATTGGAGACATTAAGCAATAAATAAATGAATGTAAAATAAACTCAGCAGTTGACCAATGATCTGAATATTTTTGGCAAATGATTGATAATTGCAATAATTAAAGACAGATAATTAAATATTGAATAACTCAAACGATCCGTTATTGAATATCAGATTTATTTGAAACAATATTTAAAACTAACTGATTTATTAGTTGTAATGAAACTATTTCTCTCGTTTTATTTGTTGTCTCGATTACAAGATAATAAATTTAATCACAAATGACAATTGAGTTAAAAGAAAAATGAATGCTTGAATGACGTAAATCGAAATGATTCAGTGATTCATAAGTAAAACAGCTGATTTTTTTCGTAATTTATTTCCGAGGGGTATCTGGGCATAATCCTCTCATGTTATGTATTTTTTTACGTCTCGAAAATATAAAAAACCTTTGGAATGTAAAAATAAATAGTAAAAGTTGTAAAGCCATTCTTTACAAAAAATCTCTTCATTCTTAATTTTTCTATTCACCTTAAGACTATTTTTGTCGGAAATTATTAAAATCATGTATCCATTGAAATAAAAATGTTTAAATTATGTAAAATTGACAATTCATTTATTCTAAATAAAGGATTACAACATGCTATTAAATTTGTTTTCTTCGCCATAGAACCAATAATTTAATTTTCAACTACTGAAGACTTTATTTCAATTAATTATTTCACGCGCATAAAACCGCAAACAAAAATCACGACATGTTAAATTCCTCTTCTTCGTCATCTAAACAATAATTTCCCCTTCAACTAAAACCTTCATTTGAATTTAAAAAAACGCGTTCGTATACCGAAAGAATAAATTCCTTCACATGAATAAAACGCACCTAAAAATCACGTTTGCATTCAGACAAAAAAATCCTCCAGTGAACCTAATTCTCCACATCCCCGACCCCCCGCACCCTTTAAATTCCTCCCAACCTAAACCCCGAATCCCCCGATGCTTAAAAAATCCCCTAACCCCGTTGAGCCCTCCCCATTAATTACCATTACCCCCCTGGACTCGCCCTAAACCCCTCAAAAAACCTCAAAAGACTTCATAATTTCCCTGAAAACTTTTCAAAAAAAAAGCCCCCACGATGAAAGATAGGCAATAAGTCTCAAACTTACAATGCGTTAACGCAGGCGCGACGTCCCACCCCCAAATGCGTCCGCGTACGTGGGGAGGAGAAACAACATGGCGTCACACAGCGCATGGAGGTACGAGCGGGGGTTGAAAGCAGTGGTGGCGATCGATAAGGGCGCGAGGCCTGAGCGGTTTGTCGCGACAGGGGCCCTAAAAAACCCCTCTGTATCATTTATTTCGCCGTTAAGTGCATTTCAGTCGTGCATTGAGAGTCGCGAGTGCAAGTTTGCGGGCCAAACTCACCCCCCGATAAATCGAAACCCAATAATCCAGCAATAATTTTTAGTTATCCCAGGGGGGGGGGGATAATTATTTTCTCCATCAGCGATGGGTCGGAATCGATCAGTCGTGACTGGTGAATTAACGCGAGTTGTCACACTCAGCTATTTTGCCATTCTCTCGGCGAACAGGCACTAGTGGAAATAGCCACGATTCAATGGGAGATGAGTTCAACACAGTTGGAGATAAATTGCGCAATTGACAGTGCGAATTATGCAGGCGGGAATGGATTTATAAGGCCGGCGGGGCTGGCCGGATGTCAGTGATAACGTCCACTGTCGGTCGCGAGGAATTGACATTCCCGAGGTTTTTGTCTGGGAAATGATTCGGGAGTGATTTGACGTTGGGGGAAATGTCTGATACATCTTGGGGCTCATCACTGTGCGCGCGGGGCGTACACAGAAGCCGGAAGCGCACCGGAAAGACAATGCTTATCTCCGTCGTTGTTCTCTTCGTTGCGGGATCTTTCTGCCCCAGCGTCACTGGTGAAGCTGGAAAACAATGTAAGATTGTGCCTGGAATTTATCGCCGGGGAATTTTAGAGCCACGGGGAGAGAAATATTCGATAAAGATTACGTAGCTTTTTCGTAATTCCGGGGCGAAGTGTGGTTGCAGGAAACTTTACGGAACTGTCACGGAATTTTTCTAGGGGGTTCTGTAATTTTTAGATGAATTTATTGTGAAAAATTACGATACCGTCGCCTGAATTTTCTGAGTCGATTCCGTAATCGGTGAGCGAACTCTGAGTTCCGTAATTTTTACTGAAAATTTCTCTCCGGGCACTGGACGCGGAGAGAAATATTCAATAAAATTGCGGATTTCCGGAATTCCGGAGTGCAATGTGATTGTGGGAAATTTTACGCAACTGGCGCGTCATTTTTACCTAAAGTCGCGGAATTTTTCCCAGAACTTTCCGTCATTTTTAGATGAATTTCTTGTGAAAAATTTAGATAACGTCAGTTTAATTTTCTGAGACGATTCCGTAATCGCCGGTGAGCGAACTGTGAGTTCCGTAATTTTACTGAACATTTCTCTCCGTGTGGGGGAGAGAGTTTTTAAGGGGGGACTCTGGGGAAATTTGAAAGTCGGGGGGAAATGACGGGAAATGATGGGGTGCCTGAAAAACGAAACAATTTTATATCCAACCCATTTTACCCTGTTCTTTGGGGAAAACGCAGTTTTTAGTGGTTTTGATTTTTAGTTTTATCTTTTCAGAATGTTCGCTAGATTCCGTAGAATAAAAGTAGGTTTTTTTGCGATTGTCTTAATTAGATCGTAGAGATACTCAATTTTTTCGGTTTGACGGTTTTTTATTTTTTCGTAACGTGGAAAAATTATGGTTCCGAGCACTTGAACATAATTTTTTTACTGAAAACACCTTTTATGTGCTATTTTGATGTTCAACTACTCAGAATAATAATTTTTGTACAGTACACTGTTAAAAATTTTCGTCTGGAATTTGCGGTACTTTTGGGGAATTTTTATCGAATTTAATTACCTCTGAAACTTCAGAATTTCGTGGAAAAATCAGAGAGAACTATAAATTTCAGTTTCATTTTTCTCTGAAAATAAATAAAAAAAGATGAAAATTTCGCTAAATGTTCTCTCGAATTTTCAAGACAGTGACACTGAATGGGATTTAGGGAGAAAAATCATGAAAGTTCAGATTTCACTGAAAATTCAATGTAATTTGGCACTGAATATTCGGGTGAGATTGCAAATTCACTTAAATAAAGAAATTCTCGTCTTTATGCTGTTTAAAATTCTGGAATTTTACTCAATTTTCAGTGAAATCTGAAATTTCATTTTTTTCCCAACAGTCTGCGAAAAAACTAAAAAACGAGTGCCGAAAAAAATTAATTTTACTATTAATTAATTGAGGTAATCGAAGAAAAACACCTGTTGTTATATGGAATCTAACGAACATTTTGAAAAGAGAAAAGTTTGAGTCGGATGAGAATTGTGATTCGAGCGGCAGTTCTAAGCCTAAAACACGAAAAACGAGGTTTTCTCCTGATGTACGGGGTAAAATGGGTAGCCCATCACACGTCAAAAGTCACTCGATAGTTATTTCATCAACCGAAGACTTTCAAATTTGAATTCAAAACCTTAATTCTACTGGGGATGCGAACCGGTACGCCCTGTGGCATGTCCCTGTGTCGTTTTCCTTCCCTCAATTAACTGTTTAGGGGGATTTTAAACATGTGAATGCTACGGGTGCATTGTCTACATATGTATTTGGACGTATGTGCCTATTTTTCCACAGCCGGGTAACGGTGACGCGATTTAGTGCGGTCAGTCACGAACTTCCTGGGTTGTTCACTAATTTTAAAAAATGGATTGTCAATTTTTGGTGGACATTAGGTTGTTTTTCGAGGAATTTTGCCGGCTGGTTTGCAATTATTCGAATGGCTTGAGTAATTTTCTTCGGGGAAGAAGTGAATGGAATTTTTTAAAAAAGTTTTCAGTCCAGCTTGAGAAGATAATTATTAAATAAAATATACAAAACACTGATTTTGTATTTTGTAATTCTGTAGAAGTACAAAAATGGATTGAAATGGTTTTTCGAGGAATTTTTACTCTCGTTTGCGAAATTATTTGAATTATAAAAATAATTTTAGTCTTGGAGAGAATAAAAAAAAAACAAAACTTTTTTGAATTCCGAAAAATCAAAGTTAATGAAAATCATAAAGAAATAAAATATCAATTCAAGATGAATAAAATTGATTATACATTTCGTAATTCTCAAAACATCGAAATAATTATTCGAATAACGAACAATTTTCTCTTTAAAAATTAAACTTAACAAAAATAACAATAAAATGTGCAAAAAATTAATTTCATCATTAGTTGCGTAATTTCCCCTTGAAACCGCGAGAAAAAATGAAGAAAGTTTTCAGCATTTTTTACAAAAATTCAATTCAAGATGAATAATGATAAAATACAATGCGCAAAAATCAATTTCATATTTCGCGATTTCAAATTGGAAAATGAAAATGTACTCCAATGTCCAAAGTTTAATTTCCAGTGGCCTGCCCGTAATCTCCACAAGCATAACACAAGCATAACTACATTCATTATGACTCAACAGCCGAGACTGTGAGTGGAAAGAATGAGGGTCACAATGCTGTTATACTGAGTTGGCGTCTTGGGTTAGGTGCGTGCGCTACAAAGTCGCATCGCCACCCGAGCCGTCGCAGGTTCAAACCCAACTCTCGGTGAATCGGTACACCCTTACTTTTTCTTCGTTGAGTATCGATCGAACCCACAGTACAGCTCCATGCTTGTGTTTCAATCACATGCAGAGGCGTTCCCAATCTGTGGAGATAAAAGTTTGGCTTGTGCTTAGCTATGTTCTATGGTCTCAATCAGTGACTCTAGGACACGCAGCCCTGCTACAAATATTTTTTAATTAATCCCCGTGGGGAAATGAAATTTTAACTGTTTCAGTTGTTCATTAATGAGAATTTTTTTGAATTATCGCTCCTTTCGATAATAAAATGTCAATAATATTACGTGAGAATTTTTTGGAATAATTAATTTCCATGGCATCGAAATAATTATTTGATTCTAGTGGAAAATTCACATAGAACGAATGAATTATTTATTTTATGTAATTAAAACATTGTTCATTGAACGAATACGCGAGTTCATTGAACTCCAACAACACTCGTAAAAATTCAGTAGAGAAACTAGCGAATTCGCTAGAAAATTTAATTGGAATTCTATTGAAAAAGTCGATCGATTTCGAATTTCTGTTTGAATTTTTCTCTTGAGATTTTTTCTATAAAAATGCTTCGGCATCAATTTTCTAAGTTGTTTTGTGTTAAAACAACACAAAATCCAGCGGAAAAAACTTAAAAAATTTGTGCCAAATAATTGAAAAGGAAAAAATCTAAGAGAGAAATTCAAACAGAAATTTTGAACCTATTGACTATTCGATAGAATCAGCGCAAAAACCAAATAGAATTTTTCGATAGAATTCCAATAGAAATCCTCCATAAATCCCATAGAATTCCTATAGAATTTTCTAGCGAATTCGCTGGGTTTTCTATTCAATTTTTTTATGCGTGAAATATTGTCGAAATCAGTAGAATAAATTTTAATAGTTTTATTTTATTTGAATGCATAATTTCTCAGTGAAATCCCATCGAATTCGTCCAATAATAATTGGGATAATTAAAAATTACCATCAATAAAAAATTAATGGGGTTGCAATTGAAATATCTCCATTAAAATGAATATACGAATTAATTTCATCTGTTGAAATGACTATCTTGAACAAAAATATTGTTACAAAAATAAAAATAAATTGAACCATTTAAAATCTAAATTTATCATCGGGAAATCGAAATTATAAATTTGGTGGAAACAAAAGATGAGGGAAAAAAAAAATTGTGGATAAAAATGTTCCAAAAGTATTTATTCATGACATTAGTCTCTCTCTTTCTCATTGCAGATAAAATGAGCACAATTTGTAAAAATCACTTTCTCCGTGATTTGTACAGAAAAATCGATGGCGCGGTATTGCTATCGCAGAACGAGAGAAATCTCAATTGCGCCACGACGTTCCAGACGCACAGTATTTTGCAGCGATTTATGCTGAGGTTCGATCGATTACAACTCGATTGTAACGATCATCTTTATATTTATGATGGGGCGCATGCTGGCAGCAATTACAAGGTAATAAAACGGATGACAATTTCCAACTACTGAATTATCTGTGAATTTTCTCAGAATTTTTTCACATTTCGTTTCAAGTTATCAACGAAAAAAATTAATAGAATAGTCTAGCGCCTTTGTTAGAAAATTCTATTGAAATGTCTAATAGACAATATTCAATTTAAAAAGTCAACAGAATTTGATTTTTCTGTATTACATATTCTCTTCAGATATTCTCCATAGAATTTCCTCAACTCAAATTTTCCAAGTTTTTTTCATTCTATTTTTCTTTTCTTCTCATCAAGAAAATCAAACAAAAAAATTTAGAAAATTTGGGTCAAGAAAATTCTGCAGAATATATTTCAATAGAATAAGTTGTAGGGGAGAGCGGGGCAAAATGAAACAGTCAAAAAACAATTGTTTGACACAATTCGAGTGAAAAAAATTTTTTTTAAAATTTTGTTTTTGTCAACTCTTCTTTATTCTTGGGGGTACTGATGAGAATCATAATTTTTCATTCTACTGAATGAAAAATCATTATTCTCATCTAGCTAGCTTATTCTATGAGAATCAGCTAGTTTTCTAGCTTATTCTCATAGAATAAGCTAGCGCATTCGTTAGAAAATTCTGCTGAAATGTTTAATAGAAAATATTCAATATAAAAAGTCAATAGAAATTGATTTCTCCATATTACTTATTCTCTTCAAATATTTTGCATAGAATTTCCTCAACTCAAATTTTTCAAGTTTTTTTTATTCTATTTTTTTTTCTTCTCATCAAGAAAATCAAACAAAAAAATTTAGAAAATTTGGGTCAAGGAAATTCTGCAGAATATATCTCAATAGAATAAGTTGTAGGGGAGAGCGGGGCAAAATGAAACAGTCAAAAAACAATTGTTTGACACAATTCGAGTGAAAATTTTTTTTTTTTATTTTGTTTTTGTCAACTCTTTTTTATTCTTGGGGGTACTGATGAGAATCATAATTTTTCATTCTTATTTAATGAAGTGAAGCGACTAAAAGGAAGACTACTCTATATTCCCAAGATAGTGTCGAAATGAACTGCACTTGAATCCGCGAATGTCTCATCTGTTCAATCGAATGAGGGCTGAATTAAATAACGGGAGTGAGAGCTGTTGACCCTCATCAAAGTACTATCAAGCCTTCCCCTCCGTGAAGTGTGCATTCTCTTGAATTAAAAACACACAAATCCATTCGGACTCGATCAGCTCTCCGTTCAATTCTATAAAGGATTCCATTAAAATGGAGGGAGCCTTCAATCACTTCCAGATAATTCCTGAGTGGAGGGGAAGATGTAGTTAAAAATGTAGGATGAAGGATAATTTTCCTTTTTCATTAGAAAAAATTTATTGCGTTGAGTGATTTCCAATGAAATAGTCTTTCTGATGAAAATTACAAAAAGAGGGATTTTGAGTATACAATAAAATTGTTTGAATAATTGCCTGAATTTTTACGATTTTTAAGCATTTTTGAATGCATAGAAATTTATGATGAATTTATCGTTGTTAAGAATCGCATTTTTTTTACTGGAAGTCTCGAAAGCAATTTTTTAAGACATAATTCCTTCGCGAAGAAGGAAGTGCAGTGCAAGTAATAGATAAAGGATAGATTTACCTCTTTTATTTCAGAACATTTATCGCATTGAGCGATTTTCACGGAAATTGTGTTTTTTATGAAAATTACAGAAGGAGAGATTTTGGAAATACAATGAACCATCCCCCAAAAATTTTCTTAGATCATATCTCCACCAAATGTTCTTCCGAATTTCTGCACTTTTGGAAAATTTTCATCAAGTTATAGTGCCAATGAAATTTCAAGAAATTTCATAACTGAAAATTCACGAACTTATGAAGAAATCAATGAAAACTATAAATTTCAGTTTACCTATTCCTCGAGAAATTGATAGAAATCAGAGAAATTCGACCAAAAATATTCATGAATGTTTACTTGATTATTTTGATTATTATTAATTTTATTATTATCATCAATTAATTGAACCCTCAAAATATTGAATAAAAAAATAAAAATATTAAAGATTGAATTTCACCTAATTCTCCCTAAAACTTGAAATTCCAAAATTTTTCTAAACTCCAAACTCTGAATGAAGAAGTCATCTTCATTCCATTTCCCCTCTCCCCCAGTGCCGCATCCCCCCAGCGGTCAATTCCCCGGAATTCTCCGCCGCCCCCAAAGATTTCCATAAATCTTATCTTTACCAGACGTTCTTCTAAATTCCCGCACTGTTAATAATTTGGACCGAAATTTTTGTTACACTTCTGGAAAATTTTCATCAAGTTACAGTGCCAATGAAACTTCATAACCGAAAATTCACAAATTTATGAAGAAATCAATGAAACCTGTAAATTTCAGTTTCCCTCTTCCTCGAGAAATTGATAGAAATCAGAGAAATTCGACCAAAAATATTCATGAATGTTTACTTGATTATTTTGATTATTATTAATTTTATTATTATCATCAATTAATTGAACCCTCAAAATATTGAATAAAAAAATAAAAATATTAAAGATTGAATTTCACCTAATTCTCCCTGAAACTTGAAATTCCACAATTTTTCTAAACTCTGAATGAAATTAAAATTTCCATCTAAGAAACCAACAGTAAGAAGTCACCTTCATTATAGTTCCCCTTTCCCCCCGTGTCCCAACCCCCCAGCGGTCAATTCCCCGGAATTCTCCACCGCCCCCAAAGATCTCCAAACTCCGCATCCCTCAAACTTATCATAATTAATACCCCTAGGCGGATTTATCCTGTCAGAATACCCACCTGAGTGTGGGTGCGATATACACCCGCACAAACTTCGTAACACTAAAGTACGTAACAGACGGATGGGGCACCGACACTAATGGCTTTCAGCTTGTCATCACCGCCATTAAGGACGAAAGTGGGTATTAACCGTAAAAACCGCGCAATTTCCCCCCGAAATAACCGAAAAAAAAATTCTTATCACCAGGACACACGTGTAAAGACTTCCGTTGTACCATGAATATGTTTTGTATCGACGAGGATCTCGTTTGCGACGGCATAAATCACTGCGGCGACGGCTCGGACGAAGTATCATCCACCCTGTGCGCCAGTGAGTAGCCAACAATGCAACGAATCCCAAATAAATTCCAATCGCGCAATTTCATTCATGCAAATCTGTGCTATTTCAGACACCGAGGCGTCAACAATACTGGGAATGCAGAAGACTTGGTTTGCCGTTGCCCTAGTATTCAGTGTACTCAGTATAACGGCCCTTCTCACTGCTGGTGTTTTGTGCTATTGCCGGAGGCGAGGAACAACCCCCAGGCACTCGCACAACACGCACAGCGCACAGATGACGCACCCTCCTGTTAGCTTCCCATGTGAGTTACACCGCAAGGCCAATATCATCATAAAATCGATGTGCTTCATTCATTTTTATGGATTATTGTGTGTCAATGAGCTCATTTTGAGGCTGTTGTGGAGTGGTAAATGGTTATTTTTGAATTTTATTCACTGGAGATTTTAACGATTAAATTTGAATGAATGGTTTCGGTCATCAATTGTAGTAAAAATATTGAGATATATCAATATTTTTCATGTGATATATCATAATTGTTGTAATAATTAATAATAATAATTAATAATAATTAATAATAATAATAATTATTATAATATTGTAATAATGATTACAATATTATTATTATAATAATAATAATTATTAATTAATATATCGTAATGTTTTTTTATGTTGAAAAACACTATATTGGACAAAAAAATTGTTTATCTAAGTAGATCGGGACTTGAGAATTTTTTGTACTTGATTATTAGCAAATTTGGCATTTCATAGGCTTTCGCATTTGAAAATTTTAAGAAATAGGAAATTTTATAGATATTTGGTAGAAAAAAAGTAAATAAATTGTGATTTTGTCATTCGAATCATTCTCTTCCACAGATTTTTTGGGTGCACAACGGTTGGCTCCAATTTTCCAAGTTTTTTCCTTGATTTTTTAAAAAATTTTATTGAAGAATTCAAGGGAAGAAAACTTGGAAAATTTATGCATAAAAATTCTTATTGGAAAAAATCTAAACAGAATAAGTCAGATAAAAAATACAACTTCTACTTCTAAAAAATCGATATAATTCTATCGAAATTCTATAGATATGTGGTAGAAAAAAGCAAATAAATTGCAATCTTTTCATTCAAATCATTCTCTTCCTCCATTTTTCAAGGTTTTTATTACAAAATTCAATGGAAAAAAACTTGGAAAATTCATGCATAAGAATTCTCACCGGAAAAAATTCCACCAAGATAAATCACGTAAAACAACCTCTACCTATTCTTTTTCCATCAAATATCTATTGAAAAACGCTTGGCAAAGCTGCATAAATCTCCAAGTAACCAATGAAACCAATGAAACTTAAAAATAAAAAATCAGTAAAACGTTGAGCGGAGAAAATAGGCCAGTGAAAAATAGACCACGCGCCGATGGCGCGTTGCAATGCAAGCGCTCTGGGCTGTTGACTTCCGCGGCCTATTTTCTCCGAGATTTCCGTCCAACATTTCAATGTCATTTTTCGAGACAATCCCCTGCCTCCCGTCATTCAACTCCCGTCTCCTCCACTTCGCCACTGCCCGAATCAACGAAACTAAAACCCTAATCTGCATGAAAATCCCCCCGATCACTCCCCCGAAATCACCGAAGCGCCTCTAGATATCTTATCACCTCCATCACTTGCGTAAGCTTCAAACTCTCCACAAAAAAAGTGGATCACCCAAGGAACCCCCACCCCCACCACTGACCGCGATACAATCCCGTAAAAGTAAATTCAATCCCAAACTCGGTTAGTCATTCACCGTTAACATTTGATGAAAGTTCGAGACAAACGCGCACCGAAATCCGCCTACACGTGACCCAACTGCCAACAAGTAAGATAAAGTTTCACCTTCGTCCACTTCCCCGTCGTCAACAAATTTCGAAACGTGCAGTTTCAGTAGTGAAATTGACTCATTATGACATTGTCTCCCAGCAAACTAATTAATCCCCCCGCGACATCGGAAGATAGTTCAACTCCAGTGACAAACACCCGCGAGTTATCAGTCCAAAGTATCAGTAAAGCACGCTGTAAGTCCCGCCAGAAATCGAAAGATTTATCGGGCACACATTGTCATTCACGAAGAACGAATGCGTAATAAATAAGTTTTCCCAGTGGTGCGCTATCACCGATTTGCGTCTGAGCAAAGTAGTCAGACAGTATCAGTGGCCTTGCGACCGAAGTTCGAGGTTAGTGAGCGGTCCCAATAGTTCAGTTAACGCCCAAAAGCCCAATGATAACAGTGGACTTGTCATTATTGACAGGTCTTGCGAGAATGAAGTTGAATAGCATAAAGCGCGTCCTCAGAGACATGGGATTGCAGCGTTCAGAATCGCGACGCACATTCGGATTGAGAATGCTGACGATAGTGTGCCTCCTCTCGATGGGGGTCTTCGGAGTGGTCCTGTCGAACAGTGTGACATACAGAGTCCACAGAACGGACAAAAAATCGCGGCAATTCGGCGTTAACCATCGCGATTACTTCCTCGGCCCCTGCCTGGTGCACACCAACCAGACATGCCCCGACGACGAGGTCACGTTCTTCCTGTACACCAGGGAGAACCCGGGCTCGAGCAGACAAATACTCGTTAACGATTCATCCTCCAATCTCCACGAGACCAACTTCAACCCGAGACATCCAACCAAGATCATTGTTCATGGATACAACTCAGACATGCGGCTGGATTCGCTGGTGGACATTAGGAACGAGTACCTCAGGAAGGGCAGTTACAATATAATTGCTGTTGATTGGCACCGTTTGGCTGTCGCACCTTGCTATCCAATAGCCGTTCACAATGTTCCACACGTTGGTGATTGTCTGGCGCAGTTGATCGAGAGATTGAGGGACAATGGGGCTACGGATATTCACGCTATTGGATTCAGTCTTGGCGCACATGTGCCAGCATTCGCTGCTAATGTGTTGAGACCGTATAAAATGCCCAGGATCACTGGTCTAGATCCCGCAATGCCACTTTTCGTAACAGTCGGGAAGGATGAGAAATTAGACTCCGGGGATGGGGACTTTGTCGACGTTTTTCACACGAATGCCTTCATTCAGGGGAAAGTCGAGACCAGTGGACACATTGACTTCTACATGAATGGGGGCATCAATCAGCCCGGCTGCTGGGAGAATAGGAATCCTTTTGGGTGCAATCATCACAGGGCGGCTGTCTATTACGCAGAGTCTATTAACAGTCCTGTGGGGTTTTGGGGGTGGCCTTGTCCCGGGTTTTTGGCTTATCTTTTGGGGTTGTGCCCGCCGAGGGGACCTGCTGTGCGCGCTGGAGATCCGGTTGATGAGAACTATAGGGGGTTCTTTCTGGTGCATACCAGGGCGCAGAGCCCCTTTGCCGAGGGACTCTTTAGCAGTGCCGAGGGTGATAAGACGTCATGATTTGGGAACCACGCTGGTGGAAAATTTCTTGAGTTTCGAGGGAAGTGGGTGAATTTTTTACTACGATAAGGTTACGGGAAATTTCGGGAGGTTGAGGAATTCTTGACGAGTCAGTTGGTTTCGAGAATATTTAGATAATTCTCGATTTTCACGCGGATGGAATAATTCGATGGAAAACCTAGCGAATTCGCTAGAAAATTCTGTTGGAATTCTAGAGGAATTCTATTGAAAAATTTGGTTTTTCCGCGGATTCTAGTGGATATTCGATGAGATAGAGGCAGTAGACTTCGAATTTCTGACGGAATTCTTCTGTTGAGATTTTTTCGATATGAATGCTTCGGCAATTTTCTGAGTTTTTCCACTCGGATTTTGCGATGCAAAATGCAGCGGAAAACAAACAAACAAAAAAACAAAATGCAGCGGAAAAACTTGGGAAATTTGGGCCGGGTAAATCTAATAGAAAAAATTTGAGAGAAAAATTCAAACAGAAATTCGAAATCTGTTGACTTTTTCTTATTGAGTATCCAATAGAATCAGCGCGACAAACAAATTGAATTTATTAATAGAATTTCAATAGAAATCCTATAGAATTCCTATGGAATTCCAATAGGATTTTCCGGCGAATTCGCTAGGGTTTCTATTGAATTTTTCCATGCGTGTATTCTTAATCTGTTGAGAATTGAGTTATATGTGACGCTCAATTTTCACGATGAGTTTGGAAATTCCAACTTTCATTAAAGAATCAATGATCGTTTAACATGAAAAACCCAATTTTCCTGAATTTTCAAAATGAATCAGAAATTTAGTGAACGCTTTCTTTTGAAATTGAATTCAACCCCACAACATTGAAATTCAGCTGACGCTGAGACGGAAATTTCAAGAAATTTCTAACAGCGCAGGTTTTAGAGGAGTAGATCAATCGGAAATTGTCGAGGGAGTTGATGAGCTGAGATCAACTGCTAGATATAGGGTATTCAATTTTTGTTGAAGTGTGTTATTTATTTTTCGTGATTGCAGCGATGATTGAATGATAATATTGGGAGACGCATGACGTGTTGCATAAGTTATTATCGATGTATGCTTGTTAATAAATGGTGTATTTATTTTTCGAGTTGATTAAATATATTTTTGCTGTTTACGTTTTTTCGTTTGTTTTTTAGAAATTTTTTACGGCTTTTTTCGCTCGTTGGGATGTGTGGAACAATTTGGTAGGTGAAACTCGCGGTTTCTTTGAGGAATTCTATTGGTTTGTTGCATTCATCCTATTAAACGTTATGGAACTTTATTTTTTAGGAGAGAATTGATAGAAAAAAGTCGATAGATTTGGATTTTTCTGTGGAAATCCTTGGGGATAAATTTTCCAAGTTTTTTCGCGGTATTTATATCTGTTTGTCGTTACAAAATCCGAAAAAAAACAGTTGGAAAATTCAGTGGAATGAGTTTCACAGAAAAATCAACATCATACATTTTTTTCAAAGAATTGGTGCAAAAAACAAACAGATTTTCTGAATATTAGAACGTTAATGCAATAGAATTTTCCAGAAAAAGCGCAACTTTTCCTTTCAATTTTTTTACACGAAAAAAATCGAGCAGGGGAATTCAGTAGTGAAGCGGTAAAACGATTCAAGTCAATTTTGACCATTGGTTTTCAATAAATACCTCGGAATGTAAGGCGGATAGCAAAATTTTTGTTATGACCTTTTTTCTAGAGCTCATTGAGACCTACAAAAAATGTCTTTACGAAAATTTCGCCAGCTCCCTTAGGTTCGGAGATATTCCTGGAAAACTCAGCTAAGAGGCAAGTCGACTTAAATCGTTTGACCGCATCGCTTCTAAATTCTACTGTAAAAAAAATTTACATATTATTAGCTGTTAGCATTTTCCAGATTTTCATGCTGAATTTTCATCGCAAGTGCTTGTTTACGTGGATACGTCTATGTTTTCATTATGAAGGGGCATTTAGCGCTATCACAATTCTAGAACATTATAGATGTTTCTAACAAATTTTACCAGATTTTTCTAGAAAAGTTTAGATTTTTCTAGAAAATTCGAGAAAATTCTCCAGTTATTTAGAAATAAATTATAATTTTGATCCCTCTAAGAACTACTGAAAAAAAATGAAACAAATCAAAATGACATAATTTGCAAAATTCAACTTTTTCAACTTTTTTTTTCGAAAATTCATTATTCTGAGAATCTAAAGATCGAAAAAAAATGTTTACTAAAAATATTCTTACAGGCAATAAAAAATTGAAAATTTTGACGCTCAATAAATCAAAACCGGATGGATAGTACTCGAGTTATTGACAAAAAACCGAAAAATCATATCTCCAAACTGGGCTGTCGAAAAAATCTGAAAAAATTTGAGAGATAGTTTTTCAATTTCCAAGAGAAATCTCGGTGGCTTGGCGCAGTGGGTAAGTTCGTTGCCTCACATGCGAAAGGTTCCGAGTTCAAAATTCAGGCCGGAAAAATACTAGGGAAGCATGGGGCAAAATGAAACACGGGGCAAAATGAAACAGTGGGAAAATCTGGTCATCTAAAGGAGATAGGACATTTTTGAAGAGGACCTTTTTTGTAGCTTGTAAAATTCTCTACAAAAAAGGTTCTCATGAAAATCCTCCTATCTCCCTTAGATCACAATATTTTCTTGCTGTTTCATTTTGCCCCGTGTTTCATTTTGCCCCACCGTCCCCTACTAACATGGGTTTAAATAGGAGTTGGCAAGAGAAAAACGTGAATATCTCGGAAACGAGAATCGACAAAGTGGTCCCTTTTGATGCGGACGTCCGCAAATATATACAATGAAAAACTATGATGTTCACTGAAGGAAAGGGAAGACCATAGACGTATCCGCGTGAAATTACCCGCAGATTTGTTTGGGGTTGAAGCTGTTGACTGTGTTGACCCGTGGGTTTCCCCTCATTATGGGGATTGGCCATCGCGTGGCGGGACTGATGTGTCTTACAATGTTCCAGTGCAACAGATGCACGGATCAAACGGTGCGAGCGTAGGAATGCCAATGGGCATGACAACGCTCAAGGGCTCGATGGGAGCACTGGGCCCCATCAACAACATGAGCCACATGGGAATGGGGTATGGGTTAACGGGAGCAACGACACTACCACGGCCGGGAAACTGGCTGCCCCCTGCGGGCCTCAGGCTCGGGCACAGCGCGGCCCGGGTCCGCCTCTACTGCCAGGCAAAGTGAGGAGTCATGGATCAGACAGGTCAGTGTGGCGTTATTATTTCAGGACGAGGGGGGCTGATGAATTTGCTCGAGTGACGCTGGACTCATTAATCTGTTTTCTCTGGTTTTAGCGACATTTCCTCCAGCCAAAAGGACGAGTGGTTTGTGTAGGTGAGTTCAGCGGATAACTGACGCATTTCATTGAAATTTGGTTGAACTTTTGGGTGGGATTCACTTCATTTTTTCATTCGCTCAGTTCAACGACTCATTTCATTTTTTATGCTCATTTCCACGGATGACAAGATTCAATAGGAAATCTTGCGCATTCGCTAGAAAATTCTATTGGAAAATTCTATTTTTTTTGCGCTGATTCTACTGGATATTCGAAAAGAAAAAGTCAATAGATTTCGAATTTCTGTTTGGGATTTTCTCTTGAGGTTTTTCCTACAAGAATGCTTGGGCATCAATTTTATGTTTTTCCACTCGGATTCTGTAATACAAAATAAAACAAAATCCAGCGGAAAAAATTTGGAAAATTTGTGCCCAATAATTCTAATAGAAAAAATCTCAAGAGAAAATTTTTAACAGAAATTCGAAATCTATTGGCTTTTTCTTATCGAATATCTAGTAGAATCAACGCAAAAAACAAATAGAATTTTTCAATAGAATTCTAATAGAAATAAACTATTTATTTAAATTGAATAAGTTTTTTTCTTCTCGCACGAAAAAATTTAACAGAAAAACCTATCGAATTCGTTAGAAAATTCTATTGAATTTCTGTTAAACTTTCTATTAGTTTTTGGCTGATTCTATTGACACGTTCAATAGAAAAAGTCAACAGAATTCGATTTTTCTATATAACTTATTCTTTTCATATATTTTCTATAGAATTTGCTCGACTCAAGTTTTTTTCATTTTATTTTTCTTTTCTTCTCATCAAGGAAATCGAACGAAAAAACTTAGAAAATTTGAGCCGAAGAAAGTCTATAGAAAATACCTTAATAGAATGAGTTATACAGAAAAATTGAATTCTATTGATTTTTTCTACTGAATATTTTCTATCGAACATTTCAATAGAATCAGCCAAAAACTAATAGAACAGTTCAATAGAAACTCAATAGAATTTTCTAACGAATTCGATAGGTCTTCCTATTAAATTTTTTTGTCCGTGTTGGATTTAATAGAAGTTTTATTCGAAATAAATAAATTCTTTTTTTGATACAATTAAATTATTTTTATTGACACAAGTAAACAACTTTATTCATTTGTAATAACTCCTTTTTTGAATCACCCATTTTTCTGGGTGCATTGATGCTGTGGACCTCCTCAACCTCCTCATTACCAAAATAATCCACTAATGAATATCCCCCAACAACGCACCACTCGATCCCCCAAATGATCAATTAATTCCAACAACAAAATCTTCAATTAATTAGAGGCAGACCTGGACCAAAGCCCGCAGGGTGAAACGGGGACGTTGGGTGCCGTGGGCGGCGTCCCCCAGGTGCAAAGTATCACCTAATATTTCAACTACCAAGAATATCGTACCGTGCGCCAACGCAACACATCGATATTATCACTGCCCTATAGAGATGCGCAAGAGTTTGTTCATTCCAAATGTAACGAGTGCACTAAGTTGCACGTTACTTCATGACCTAGAGAAGCTTTCCGTCGATTGAGTTGGCCCGATTGTAGTTGCGGGACGAATCAATGAAATCTAGTGTGAATAATGTAATAACGAATTTACCAATTCCCTCTTGCTCCACGACTGAGAGAAAAACGACAAACTTCTCAAACAAGTCTTACTTGTGCCAAGAAAATGGTTTTTTGAAAATTATCAAAGAAGGATTTTTTGTACCAAACGTGCAGAGAGTGCGCCGGAGTGAAAAATTTTTGTCGCAAAAATAGATTTAGTAGTTCAAAAAAAATTGCATTCTCTGTACATGTAAGAATAGTATATTTCGTAACGAGTGCAAAAAAGTGTTTTTTTGGCGAGTGGGAGGTTTATATCACGAGCTGAAGGCGAGTGATATAATCTCACGAGCTAAAAAACATTTTTTCACGAGTTACGAACAATATTTTTCATCACAATGTGGCGGAAATTGGACTTTTAGTTCACTTTTCGTCACAGCGTGATGAAAATGTCATTTCTAGCACTACTCCTTCGTTATTCGATACTCCCATACGTATTTTGCTCCCGAAAAAATCTTTGTTTCATGTGAAACAAGGGATAGTAGTTTTTCGATT